CAATCGATCAATCGATCAATCAATCAACCAGCCAATCCACCGATCTGTCAACTAATCAACCAGCCAATCCACCGATCTGTCAACTAATCAACCAATCAATTAACCAACCAATCAATCAACCACCCAACCCATCAATCAACCTATTGACCAACCAACCAATGAAGAGCTCATAGACATTCATGCGCGCGAGTCACTCGGAGACACGTGCGTAGAAAGATTGACGGATGAGATTTTCCCACCCTCTGTCTCTCCTCCATTTCAGCCCTTTTCCAAACGATAAACCGAACGGCTTTTGAGTCCATCCCTTCCTCGGATCGAGTTCTTCTTCTTCTTCTTTTTTTTTTTCGTTTTTTTCTTCTGCATACCATAAAATCTCCTCCTCCTCCTCCTCCTCCTCCTCCTCCTACTGCTGATTCTACATCTTATTCTTCTACTACTGCCTCTTCTTCTTCTTCTCCTCTGCATACTTCCTCTTCTTCTTCTTCTTCTTCTTCTTCTTCTTCTTCTTCTTCTTCTGCTTCTACTACTACGACTGCTTCTTCTTCTTCTTCTTCTTCTTCTGCATTCCATAAAAATCCTCCTCCTTCTCCTCCTCTTCCTCCTCCCCCTTCTTCTACTGCTGCTGCTTCTTCTACTACTGCCTCTTCTTCTTCTTCTCTGCATACCATAAAATTCTCCTCCTCCTCCTCCTCCTCCTCCTGCTGCTGCTGCTGCTTCTTCCTCTTCTTCTGCATACGATCAACATCTCGCGCATTTTGAGCTTTGGCTGTCCAAGAAGGCGTGATGAAGTCCTTGTTTCTTTGCATGGATGATTATCGATTGCCCTCGCTATCCTCTATTCTCATTTCTTCTTCTTCTTCTTCTTCTTCTTCTTCTTCTTCTTCTTCTTCTTCTGCTCCCTCCTCCTCCGCCTGTTCTCCACCGTCTTGCCATCATCATGTGAGGGCATACTCACACTCTAGGACTTTGTACGGTGCATCTGACCGGAATTCCTGCCAGGCCGGGCATGAATCCCGGACAGCACCAGCGCCAAAAAAAGGAGGGGGGGGATTCAAAGAATTCGAGAAGAAAGATATGTTGTGTAGAATTGCAATACAAACGACTTTTGGCTGAGGGTCACATCAGAATTCCGCACGGATTCGCAGAGGTAAAAAAATAAAACAACAAAATTAGACTAAGGGGCACCCCCCTTTAGACCCCTTAAGCCCCTTGAAAACAAGTTTATAGCCCCCTCCCTCCCCCCCCTCCCCCTTCCTCTCCCTCTTGATAGACAACGCTCGAAAAAAGAAAGAAGCCTGGATTTGGGCTCCCTTGGCTAGGCTCAGGAAACCTCCACCCCCC